TCGATCAACGGCGTGTTTTAGTGCATGTGGTAGTAATGTCGACTGCTTGCTTTCACTTCACGGCAAATCTGGCAGGCTTGAGACGACTAATGTGGCGTGTATCTTGTACCTGTCACATCTGTCTGTCACGCATCTATCTGTAGCGATCCTATGCCTATGCTGCTGGTGGTGCTCTTCGGCGGTGTGATGTGTGATACCTCGCTGCCAGGTATACACTGCACGTGTGCCTCTTCCCGATGTGCGTGTTTGCGTCCGCAAGGCGGAAATAGATACTTCCTCTGTATCATAAGTTAGGGTACCTAAATTTGTACGGGCCCTTAACCGTGTCCGATCTGTTTTTCGGTTTTTTTGTTGAAATCTTCGGAGTTTTTTTAGCAAGAAACATGCGCCACCCCGCGTGCATGAGCGCCCGAGAAAAAAACAATCGGCCTGAAAAAGGCCGTATTTTGCATGTATTCTGCCCCCTCCGACCAGGCGGGGGGGGCGGGGCAATGACAAAAACAAGACAAAAATACCAAGAATTATCCCTGACCCTAGACCTAGCCCCCCCTCTACTCAACGATCCATGATGCGTCCCCCGTACTAAAAACAGCATAATAGTGGCCCCACACTGAAAACAAGACACTTGGGGTGACCACACTAAAACCAAGACACTTGCGGGGCAAAGCAAGCAACAGTAGGGCCCTCATCCAACCCCCCCCTCTACTCAACGATCCATGTCGCGCCCCCTATACTAAAAGCAGTATAGTAGTGAACCACACTAAAACCAAGACACTTGGGGGGGCACACTAAAATCAAGACACTTGCGGGACAAAAAGAAGGGTTGGTTGGTGGCGGGGAAAAAATAGAAAAAGTCGACAATTCTTACCGCCATGGCATAGCGCCTACCAACCGATAATTCGGTGCCCCTTTTGCGAGGTGGTGTGCTGGGGGGCGATTCCATCGCTAGAGTGAGTAGTGGGCCGGTAGGGTACTAATATTAGATGGTTTTGAGAATTTCGTCGAGAATTCTCAAAAAAAATCTCAAAATATTTTCCCAAAACTATTCCCAAAACAGGCCAAAATAGGGTATATTTTGACCAATATTACAGAAATAGATGTTCGTTTTTTTTACAAATTTTTCTATCGCTTCTTCTTTGTTATATCTTTCTTACAAACCCGACGATGCTACCATCACTAACACGGTTGCACCCAGACAATCTATTGCATTTAGGTACCCTAACTTATGATACAGAGGAAGTATTTGATATTCTGGTTCTTCGTGGGCGTGGTATGTGGCATCAACGGAAAATAACTACCGCATATATATATGCATACTAGGGTTCAGGATTGGCCCCCCGCCCCCCAATGGGGCGGGCGGCCACACCGGGATGGATTACTTTGATGGTACGAGCATCGTCCCTGGTGCACGTAGCTACATTGTTGGCGGCAGAGGAGATTTCCACATGGCCTTGGCGGGGTTGACGCCCTCGCTGCGCAGCCGGTCGAATTCGGTAACCCCAAACGATTCACGCTGCTGTGTATGGATAGGCTTTACTGGAAAGGCGCTTGTCCAAAATTGCGCCAACCCGGAAATGCTTCCTGCACCTATGTACGTACGTAGTTCACACTTGGCGAAGTCTGGAGCCATTTCGTCACGTCCATTTACTCAAGGTAGAGCGGTGTACCAAAATATTGGTGCTGAGAGCTGCGACAAGGGCTTGATCAGCAGCTCTTTCCCTTTTTCATACCACGGAGGAATTGCCATAAAGTTACACCATTAGACTAGTTAACTTTATCTTACATGCCAGATCCACGGCGAACCAGAAAGTATCATGTATCTGCGCGTGTAGACCATAACTCGAATGCGTGATGGACTTACGGAGAGGTATAGCGATGAAAAGAGCGGCAAGGGTGGCAAATCCCACCGCATATTGGTTATTCCACTGTCCCGAACCGGCACAGGACCTCGCGGGGGTTATCGAGGAATTCCGCACGTTCGAACCATTACCCCCATGTGTGAAGGACCACTCTGCCCAGCGCGCACCCCCCTAAAAACCAAAACACTGACACCCGGCTGGGCTGCCGACTGCCGACGAAAGAGCACAGCAGGCAAGGCGGTGGCGCGCAAAGGGGCCAAGACACGTACAACACAATAGGTGAAAGCAACTAACTATACTTTTACAGTCGCACCAATCCTGACAAAACCTTCGAGAGAAAAAGATAGGGAGACAGCCGCCGAGAAAATACTGCAGCTTGTCCGTAGTCCAATATTTTTAGTCCAACGTCTGTAAATCGAGCCAGAGCTCCAGCTCGGTTCGGATGTGCACTCTATACAGGCGTTGTGCGTGCAGCACGATCCACGACGTCTGTTCCATTGCCCTACAGCGATCGTCTTCTCGGAAACCGTCGTTCCAAGTACACACTGCTGTGCTGGTGTCACAGTTTTGTTTCCATTTTACCAGCGCTAAAGGCGCACGAAGAGTGCCCGTTACACCGCGCGCGACGTTGTAGTGTGCAAGTACTTCCATCAGACACTCGCCGCCCAACTACAGCAGTAGAAACAAGACTGTTCCTTCCGTCCCTTCACCCGACCGATGCTACTTGAAGAGGCGCTCACAACCACAAGCGCATGCCCGCACTCTTTTTGCAACGCACGTACACCTGTATTTGTCCCCATTATACGTTTGACTTGCGGAGTAAATGTTTTCGTCGAACACCTCGGTTGGCCCAACGAATTTTCACGGAGGAAGTTTTTTGTTTTTTCGTTTCCGGCGGCTGGTGTGCAAAGGCGTTGCGGGCGGCGTGAAAAAAATGTCACACCTTGAAGTCGCAGGGACCATTGGGAATTTTCTCTCAACCCCTTCGCAGTAGTCGCAGTCTGCCGTTGAATGCTGCTGTGGCTTTTTTGTCGTATTAAAGGGGAGAATTGAGAATCGACGGTCCAGGTAGCGACCGTGTGTGTTTTTTATTATTAGCATCGACCGCGCTAACCGGCTGACCAATTAAACGACGTCAGCGACCGTGTGTGTGTGTGTTTTTATTAGTAGCATCGACCGCTCTAACCGGCTGACCAATTAAAAGACGTCAGTGCCAGCGGGTAAAAATCAAGGTCCCTGGAAGGGGGCCGAAATTCGACAAACGCGCAATGCGCTTGATGCGAATGCCAATACGACTCTCTCTACATGTTCTTTCAGTGGACACNCAGTGCCAGCGGGTAAAAATCAAGGTCCCTGGAAGGGGGCCGAAATTCGACAAACGCGCAATGCGCTTGATGCGAATGCCAATACGACTCTCTCTACATGTTCTTTCAGTGGACACACATCTCAGCTACACAAATGCCCCCGCTCGAATCTAGGAAGCCACTGATGCAAAGGGCGGAGGACAGCAAAAGGGTTATTTCAAGCCCAGCCGAAGCCAGGATATCGTGGTATGCTGCATCTCCCAATTTGATAATCGTACACTCCCAAGATCCAACAGTCATCGTGTCAGCAGCTAGATGACTCCAACAAAATAGCAACACATACATTGCCATAGCTCCACACATGCCCTCGTCCGAACCTAGCAAGTCACTAGGAAGTCACGAGGGAGCCAAGTCCTGCTCGCAGGTTCTCTTGGCTTTCCTTCAGGTGAACACGTCCAGGAATCCAGTATCCGCAGCCGCCGCAGTAGTACTGTACTGTGTAGTAGTCGTAGGAAATCCAGGTTGTACCCACCCGTTGTCCAAACAAAGGTTTATGATTCCGTGAGAGAAGGAGATATCACCGCCATCGAAGGTTCGAAGGCACTGTCTGCCAGATGTAGGCTGTGAGATAGATGGAGCCACCTATGTGTTCTTAGCCTGCCCGCCCGTGAGGGTCGTGACGAGACCGTGTGTGTGTGTGTGTGTGTGTTTTCGTCCTATTTATGCGACAGTCCCCCCATTTTTCGTGGTGAGACGTGTACTACACTTGTCAGGGTATGTAGAGTACTACACTTTTCAGTGTATTTTTTCGTACAACTACAACCATCCAGGGTCACTTAGCGACCGTAGTCGGCAATAATTCGTTGAGTTTGCCGATTTACGTGTATAAGCTGCATTCCCGATGTCACATGTGCATACATTTGATCCCTAGACCTGTAGTCGATTAGAATGATGTCGAATCGCCCCATTGCTTGCTGCTGCCGTGCGAGGTGTGGATTGGCAATAAGGAACGAACCTGATAAGGCTCGTTTCCCGACACAGCGAGGACGGGTTCACGAAGAGCAGCTATTTCGTCTGGATTTTGCACGCCCACGCGGCGAACGCGTGCTTTGCTTGGATTTCCAGCCCGGAAACGAAATATTTGCGAATGGGCTATGTACACGAGCCAAGCGCGTCCACTCCAAGCCTTAACGAGAACACCGCCACAAAACCGCCTCCCGTAAGCATTCAAAGATTTCAGGTTCAACATCGAAAAGGATCCCTTGACCGCCACATTTTCACGGACCTGTTGGCCCCCGCTGTGTGTTGTCGCGTAATCTCTGTTGACCGGCGTATGCTACTCACAGACAAATATCGACGTCATTCCGGTACAGGCGTTGTGCCAGTTTCGCCCCGAGCAGTCGAAACACCACAACAGGTGTGGGCCTACAATCTCGACCCAAGATTGGTTTACAATCTCGACTCAAGATTGACTTCGGTTCGCCCGTAACCCAGACGGCGCACCGAAATGAATGTATTTACCCACCTTCCCAGAACACATGGGGTGGGACTAAGCAAGGAAACGGGCCGTGATAGCAGAAGACTTCAAGATCCAGCGGATACGCTTGCCCGAGGCCGCATCATTTTTTTTTCCAGTCTCTTTTGTGCTTGCGTCCTGTACTGAACATCCAGGGGGAAATTGGACCCTGAGCCACAAGTTTTTGTGCTCCGAAGCGCATGACATCTTTGACAGCCCCCGGCTTTCGGAACGCCCTGACAACGACCCTCTGTGCTTTCCCTCCGATGCTTGCACGCTGCGCGCTCTCGTGTCTGCCCATCCACAGAGTCCTGTAGACTGGCTTCGGGGCTTGGCTGCCTCCACGCCGAGCCACCATGAACAAAACGACCTGGGTGATAGCCATCGACATAGCCTGTGAGTTTGTCCCCTTCACCGACATCCTCAGCGACGTCATCTTGTTAATAGCAGTCTGGCCGAGGACAGCGGTGATCGCCCCTGACGATGTCGAAGGCTGCGGGGAAAGGGCGCTCTGGTGAGCGAAACGGGGCAGGGATATGGCCGTGAACACGAGCAGCGAAATGGAATGCGGGAGTCTCGTGGAAACTACGGCTGGTAACCTCTCTTTCCTCCCTTGCATGCCATTTTTCCCTGCGTCTTCACCAGGGTGACGTTCCTAGAAAAGCGAAACAGGAAAATAAGCCGTGGTTGGAGGAAACGCGCCTTCGGGTTGATGTAGCAACCGAGTTGTCTGACCCTCGACTTTCGACACACCCACAAAGCAGCAGCAAGAAACTCAACCAACAGTATCCACCGGCTGGAAGGATTTTTTTTGCTTGAAGCCTTGCTTCTGCTGACAATGTGCAGTAAAGCGGTCCTTTCCGTCCCTCCGTTTCTTTTCGCGTTCCTGCATCATGTGCGCATCGACACGCAACACAAACATCTTTAGTTGGCTGGCGTCCTCGCTTTTTAGTGGCGGTTTTGTTTTTATTCATTTTAACCCGCGGCCGTTTTTGTTGTAACGCTCAAACAATCAACATCCGTTGTCTTTGCTACTGCTCCCCCTGCTATTGCCTGAGTTTGGTGCTGGCCTTCCTTTTCGCGGAACACTGTGACTGGTGGCCTGCCCCGCCCCCGCCCCCTTTCCAAACATGCTTTTTTTGCCCTCCCCCTGCGTTGCGTGCAGGTATCTCGCCCTGTCCTTCACCGTGGTCGGCACGCTGGTCGACCTCTTCCCCGAGATGCTGCTCGTCTCGGAGATAGCGCTTCACCCCTCGGTCCTCACGTCGCCGGGCTCGATGGGGACCCTCCTGCGGCTCGTCTTCAGCGACGGAAAGCCGGTGGTCGTTTTCGCGGCGACCGAGGAGTTTGAAAAGCCGCTGGCCCCGCCGCTGCTGGCCATCCGGGACTCGCTCCGGCGGCGGCTGTCGTCGGTGGCGACCGCGTTCTTCCTTGGCGACGGCTGCGGGGCGAGTTCGCCCAAGTGGACCTACGCCGGGTGAGAAGTTGGGAGAACTAGGAAATGTTAAACACCGCAATACTAAGAAAAAAAATAAGCCTTCGTTCTATAATTCCGAAGATAATCTAAGAATGAAACAGAATTCCAAAAACTATTGATAATTATGTCTTGGTTTTATTTCCCATCGCCGTTTGTGACCATGCCATCGTGCCCGCTTCGCAGCTTCGACGGTCCCCTGCAGGCCGTGCCCGCACAAATCCGTCTGAGTTAATTAGTCGGCCCCGGTGTACCAGCTGTTTTTTTGCCTTGCATCGTCGTGGACAGCAATAGTCCACCAGGCTGTGTGCCCCGTCCCCCAGCACAACCCCTTGCTGGCTCCACTCAACCCCGCCCCCGCCGCCGTCTCTCTGCTCCGCGTCAGACTCGTCGGAGTCCTCGTCGGGGGCGAGCTCCTGACGGCCATCGGCGCCTGCCTGTTCCTGCGCATCGAGTTCGGGTGGCCGGCGCTGATCTCCCTCTTGGCGAGCCTGCTGGCGCTGCTGATCTCGGTGCGCTGCCACATGCGGCGGGTCGGAGAGAAGACGCTGCACCTGTGCCACGAGTCGGCGACGGGGAACGGCGGCAGGCTGTTCGAGTTCCTGCTCCCCGGGCCGGTGACACTGACCCGCTTCCTTCTCGCGGTGCCCGTCTGGCCCATGCTCCTCGTCTACTCGGAGGGGGCATCCTTCTGGCCGTTCAGCATGGCGAGCAGGGGGGACCACTCCCTGCCGCCGTCGGGGGAGTCGCTGTGGGCTAACCCTTGGGACTGGTTCAGGGTGAGCGCAAGACCCAAGAAAATGGAAACGTGCTTACCTATAATTTTTGTGCGATGCATCGCCGCGGGCGGGTGCTGCTGCTGCTGCTGTGGAGCGGGTATCGTGCCGGGGGTTGTTGGCCTTCTTCCGGCCGTGGTTGTGCTCTGTCGCTCGCCTTTTCTCGGCGGATCACTGCTGTCACACAAAGGGCTCGATTTTTTTTTTATCGTGCGGGCCATTGCGGGTTTGGTTGTGCCGGCCTTCTTGGTTGCATTCTCAGTGCGTACCGAAAGAAACAAATCTTGTCTGTTGTCCCCCTTCTGTGCAGGTCGCCGTGCCTTCGCTCTCTCGGTCGGACAACGACAGCCCGATGAGCTACGTGTACTGGGCGATCGTACCGCACCTGCTGTGGACCCTCGTTTCCGCGGTTTGGGTAGGCCTCCTCGGCGCCGCCAACCTGGTGTGCTGGTACTTCGGGCACGCAGAGGTATGACGCGGCTTGTAGCACGGCGAAGGGTGGATGGATCTAAAAGTACGTCTTTTTCTTGTACGATGCGGAGACGTAGCGAAGCGCTAGGTGGGTTAGAAGAACTGGAATCCGCACGCAGCCGAATCCCTAGAGGTTTAGCTCAGCGGCAGGTCGAGTCTCAATCAGGCTGCTTGGCAAGGTGCTGCGATTCTTTCTCTTGGCGAGTATACATCCATGGATGCCCAGTTTACGCCCCGACTGCGGCAGCTGCTTCGAGGTCGAACGCACCAACGCGCGCGCCAGGGGCACGCTTTGCTCCTCGATGCAAGCCCGTGTTTTCGCAAGCGAGCGTTCGCTCTCGTTTGCGGCGGGGGTGGGCGGGCGGGCGGCGGGTTGTTGTTATGCCTACTATGCAAAAGGCTCGGTTCACCGGGGGCACGAGAATGAACGTAGTACTCCCGGTGCCGTTGGCGTGGCAAAAAAAGTGGCGAAAGTTCGCCCCGTGTTCTGGCGAGGTGGCCGATACAAGCAGTTAGGGCCTGCACATAACAACTTGGCATCCAAGGGAGTGACACAGAATTGAAAAATTGTGAAAAGTATTAGGATGTGATCACCTTTTGTGAGCTCAGATAAGAACCCCTTCACAAAACTAGTCCAAGTTTATTTTCCGCGGCCACTCGTAGCACAAGCCTTATCAGGAACTATTTTTATGAGCCCACAGCCCCGGCCACAACCAGAGGTTCTCAAGTGCAGGAGCGTCACCTGTAGGTGATTCCGGTTGCTCTTCGGGACCGGGGCCCCAATTGCCGGAGCACGTCCGTCCGCCCCTGCCTCCCCCCGAAAAAATACCCGTGCAAACCAAACCGCAGGACTGGTCGGCGCACTCGTGGGGCGTGTACTTCTCGAGCCAGGAGTCACCCTTCAGCGTCTGGTCATGGCGGCTGCAGTCGGCGCTGGGGATGGGCTTCACCGCGTGGGCCGCCAGGGAGTTCCGGCGGCTGCTGGCCTTCTCGGCGGCGCTGGCGGCGGTGGTGGTCCAGGGGTACCGGCGGGGCGCCTGCCTGGAGCAGGAGTGGGCGTTCGTGTTCGCCGTGGCCGCGTGGTGGATCGTCGTGCTCATCGGCCACGCCGCCCGGAAGAAGAACATATTCAAGCCGCTCAACGATGCCGCCAGCGCCGCCGTGGCGGACCGCTGGTGACGGACGAGGAGGCGTGTTTTTGAGGGACTGGCGGCGGCGGCGGAGGCTGCGGGGGCGGAGGCCGGCCTGTAGTCCCGGGGGGGGGGGGGGC